AATCCCCTGGGAATGCTGAGCACAAAATTCCCACAATCCCAAATTCCCACAAAATCCGAATTTCTCTTCCCAAATCCAATTTTCCCTAAAAATTCCCTTTTTTTCCCCGTAATTCCCAAAAAAATCCAATTTTCATCCAAATTTTCCCCCGTAATTGCCCCCAAAATTCCCATTTTCCCCTAATTCCCCCCAAATTTCCCATTTTTTTCCCCCAAAATTCACATTTTTCCCCGTTTTCCTCCCAAAATTCCAATTTTCCCCCTAATTCTCCTCAAAAGTCCCATTATTCCCCCTAATTCCCAAAAAAATCCAATTTTCCCCCCAATTCCCCCCAAAATTTCCATTTTTTCTCCCATTTCCCCCAAAAATTCTGTTTTTCCCCCTAATTCCCCCTTTCCTCCCCCAAAATTCCAATTTTTTTTTTGGGGATCATCCCTTAGGCTCCATCTGGTGAAGCAAATGGGAAAATGATCCCAGAAAATCCCAAATTTCCCCTCGGGAAAAGGGCTGGAATTGCCTCTCAATAATTCATTGAAAAGCAAATAAAGACAAACGAGGCCCCTCCAGGGAAATCTTCCCCAAATCCCATAAAAAAAAAAAATGGAAAAAGCTCCTGGAAAAAAAAAGGGAAAATCCAGGGAGAAAAGGGAAAATCCAGAGGAAAAAAAGGGGAAAATCCTGGGAAAAAAAGGGGGAAAATCCTGGGAAAAAAAGGGAAAATTCCCTGGAAAAAGCTCCTGGAAAAAAAGAAAAAATCCCTGGAAAAAAGGGGGAAAATTCCCTGGGAAAAAGGAAAAAAATCCCTGGAAACAAAATGGGGAAAATCCAGGGAGAAAGGGAAAAATTCCCTGGAAAAAAGAAAAGGGAAAAATCCCTGGAAAAAAAGCAGGAAAATTCCATGGAAACTCTGGGGTTCAAAAAGGGGATTTTGGGGATTTTTTGCCTTTAAATTTGGGTTTTTCAGGGTAATTTTGTCTCAAAATTGGGGAATTTTCCCAATTTCCCCCCTTTTCCCCCTTTATATCCTAAATTTTCCCCCATTTTTCCCTGATTTTTCCAATTGTCTTCATTTTGCCCCATTTTTCCCTATTTATTTCCAAATTTCCCCCCATTTTTTACCAAAATTTCTCCCAATTTTTCCCCTTCCAGCTCTGAAAATTCCCCCCTCCCCTTTAACCCTTTCCCAACTCCATTAAAAATTCACATATTTGGGATTTTTTTTGGGCTCAAATTCCAAATTTTGGGGTTTCTGGGAGCTCCTACCTTTGGGTTGCTGCTTCTTGGACATCTTTGGGTGCAATTCCAGAGGTTTTGGAGGAGAAATTTGGGATTTTTGGGGATTTTTGGGATGTCCAAATGAGATATCCTGGGAAAAAAAGAAAAAAAAAAGAAAAAAAAAGAATAAAAATGAAATGTGAGAAAGAGAAAAGAATAAAAAATTGGGAATGAAACAAAAAAGTCCTGGAATTTTAAAGTCTTGGAATAAAAAAATCCTGAAATTAGGAAAAAAAATGGATTTAAAGAGAATCCAGAAACTCCTCAGATCCCACAAAATAAAAACTCAGAGAGCCTTAAAATGCCTCAGATCCCAAAAAAAGAGCCCCAAAACCCCAAAGAAATCCCAAAAAAACCCTCAGAGAGCCCAAAAATGCCTCAGAGATCCCAAAAAACTCCTCAAGAGACCCCAAAAATTCCTCAGACTTCATCAAAAAAACCCTCAAAGAACCCCAAAAACTCCTCAGACCCCCAAAAAAACCCCTCAAAGAGCCCTAAAATTCCTCAGAGACCCCAAATCCCCTCACAAATCCCCTCAGCCTCCCCAAATCCCCTCAGTGCCCCAAAATCCCCTCAGAGCCCCCAAATTCCCTCACAAAACCCCTCAGAGCCCCCAAATCCCCACATAAAACCCTTCAGACTCTCCCAAATTCCCTCAGCAGCCCCAAACTCCCTCTTAAAATCCATCAGAACCCCTAAATCTCCTCACAAAACCCCTCAGAGCCTCAAATTCCCTCACAAAACTCCTCAGATCCTCCCAAATCTTCACCAGCACCCCCAAATCCCCTCAGACACCACAAATCCACCCCATAAAACTGCTCAGATCCCCCGAATCCCCTCAGCACCCCAAAATCCTCACAAAACCCTTCAGACCCCCACAAATCCCCTCACATATCCCCTCAGAGCCCTCAAATCCCCTCAACTTCAACCCCAAAACTTCTCAAACCCCCCCATTCCCTCAAAAAACCCCTCAGAGGCCCCTAAATCCTCACCAGGACCCCCCCAAAATCCCCTCAGCACCCCCAAATCCCCTCACAGAACCCCTCAGAACCCCCAAATCTCCTCTCATGCCCCCATTAGTCCCCCGCACCCCCTCACAAAACCCCCAAAACCCCCCCAAATCCTCTCCAGACCCCCCCCAAACCCCCTCACAAAACCCCTCAGACTCCCCCACATCCCCTCAGCACCCCAAAATTCCCTCACAGAACCCCTCAGAGACCCCTAAATCCTCACCAGGAGCCCCCAGATCCCCTCAGCACCCCCAAAACCCCCTCACAAACCCCCTAAACTCCCCCTCACCCTCTCACAAAACCCCTCAGAACCCCAAAATCCCTTCACAAAACCCCTCAAACCCCCTCAAATCCTCTCCAGGACCCCCCAGATCCCCTCAGCCCCCCCTCCCCCTCACGAGACCCCGCAGTTCCGCCCGCCCCTTCCATCCCATCCCCTCGGCCGGGCTCGCCCAGGTGACCGCCGGCCCTCCGGGGCTCCCGGGGGTCCCGCCCTCACCGGGGGCTCCGGGGGTGTCCCGGGGGTCCCTCACGTCCCCCCCGGCCTCACCCGCGACGTTCCGGGCGGGCGCCGCGGCCCGGCAGAGCCCTCAGAGCTCGCCAGCCAATCAGAACTCGGGTTTCACCCTCCAGCCAATCAGAAAGCGTCACCCTCAGGATTTTCACCAATCAGCGCGCGGAAAAGCTCGGTTTGTCCCGCCCTCCTCCCGCCGCCATTCAGAGCGAAGAAAGGAGGAGGCGCGAGGCAGCCGTTAGCCAATGGCAGAGCGGTTCTGCCGCTAAGCCACGCCCATTCATTACAGACAACCAATCATATCACCGGATTTCTAAACCACGCCTTTTATGGGTGGAGCGGCGGGTGCCGAACGTGGACGGAAATTGCCGAGAGTGACGGAAATGCCCGAGCGCGCTCCGGAAATGGCCGAAGCCGCTCGCGACGCGAAGATCCGAAGGTCGCGGGTTCGAATCCGCGGCCGGGAACGGCGACATCGGGGACACCCCAAAAAATGG